GCAGCCGACAGGTCTAACAGCACCAGTGCCGCCACGCCGCCTCGATCCAGATGCCTACGGAGGTCGTCAGTCAGGGCGACCAGTATCGTCTCCGTCCCGTGACCCGGGCGGAACCCGGACTGGAAGGGATCGAGGATGGAAGCCTCATCCAGGTAGCTCTGCAGCTGTGACGCCACCGCCCTCTCAATAAGTTTGCCTAAATAAGGCAAATTGGACACCGGCCGATAGTTGGCCAATTCGGCCGGGTCCAAAGATGTTTTTTTCAGGAGAGGGCGGACCATCGCTTCCTTGAGTGCCCCAGGGAACCGTCCCTCCAAGAGGGACTTATTAACAATCTCCCGTAGAGCACCTCGCAGCCCCTCGCTTGCAAAATAGCTCGCAAAAGCCTCACAGCCAATGTCCAATTCCCTAACATTTTCCTTGCCCTGAGGCAGAGTTGTCAAAGACCGAATTACTCTAAATAATTGGGCCGGGCGTGAGCTAGCAGACGCAATCGAGGCCGCATAGAAATCTTTCTTTGCGGCCTTGACTGCCATCCCGTAGGATCTCATAAGCGTCCTATAGGATGTTCTGGACACCTCGTCGCAAGCACGACGCCACCGTCTCTCTAGCCGTCTCAGTTCTCGCTTCAGCGAGCGCAACTCCTGGGTATACCTCCGTTTTAACCGCTCGATCTCCAGCGCTTGCCCCAGTCAGCGTCACTTGTTCCATTCGGACACTCAGCAGAAGGACCGTTGGGACGGAGAAGTGCCTCGATTCTCTAGCATTATGCTGGCGAAGAGGCGACCTCTCAGAAGTCCCCTGGCTAGGAGCCTTTCACCAGGCTCCGGGGGGGGGGAGCGATGCCTCGCCCCCCTCCTTTCTGCTGGTGCGCAGCTTTCCCCCCCCCCCCGAGGTCCAGGAGGTGAGTCTGCTCAGTGCGCCGCCATAAATCAGAAGTCGGTGGCTCTTATGAGGGTGAAGCAGGATATAAATTCTGTTAAATAATAAGTAAAACAGAGGAGCAATTCAGAAAATTTAGTTTCTGAAGTGAGTAGGAGGAAGAAGACACTCGACAAACAGGTTTCCCTTTCAGGAATGTTCAGTGTATCTTTTGACTTAATTGTTAATTTTACCTTGACAAGCTTATCCGGGAGAGGTCAGTGTGTAGAAGAATTATTAAAAGCACAAGTCCCAAACGCACAATGCTACTAAATGACATTTTTCTAGGCCCATGGCGCTTATTTCATTTTTGTTCTTAGGCTAGGGTTAGGACTATCGGGGCTGTTTGTAAAGATCATTTGTTCGCCTTTGGAAAGGAACTACTGTAAGACCTTCTTCAACTGTGTCCTTCACTTGAAGCTAAGCACCGTGGCCTGGAGATGGGAAGGGTGTAGCTGGAAAATATCCTCATGCACTTATGCTTTTCATAAACCATTGAAAGACTGTTCCCGGAATAAACTACTCTGGTGTGAAGAGGGAAACATTCTTTGCTAGACCAGTTGCCTCTCAGAATGTATGCTGTGGGCCTGGTAATGCCGAACAAGAACTAGGTGACATAGCAGCCAGGGAAAATGTGGGAGGAAGACATAAAACTGTGTTGTGGCTAACACATTGAAGATGGTGTTTCTTGGGTTAAAAAAAAAATTCACCTTCCTTCCTGACTCTCGAATCCAGATGTGGTTTTGCCACTTTGCCTGTGTTGCTGTAAGCTCTCTGAGATGAATATGAAGCACAAGAGTTAGGACTGCTAAAGCCAGACCTGAGGGATGACTTAACCAACTGATCCTTGTTTTCAAATGTAGCTTTGAGTTCTGACTACCATTGAGAGCCAGTTTGGTGTAGTGGTGAAGTGCGCGGACTCTAATCTGGGAGAGCCGGGTTTGATTCCCCACTCCTCCACTTGCACCTGGCTGGGTGACCTTGGGCAAGCCATAATTCTGGCACAACTGTTCTTGAAAAAAGAGCAGTTTCTGTCAAGAGCTCTCTCAGCCCCACCTGACCTACCCCACAGGGTGCCTGTTGTGGGGAGGGGAAGGGAAAGGCGTTTGTAAGCCGCTCTGAGACACCTTTGGGTAGTGAAGGGCGGGGTATAAATCCAATCTCTTCTTCTTCTTCCTGTTAAAGGGTGAAGATGTGAACCGGACTCTGGAAGGTGGGCGGAAACCTCTTCACTACGCGGCGGATTGCGGACAGCTGGAGATCCTAGAGTTCCTTCTACTGAAAGGAGCGGATGTTAATGTACGTTGACTGAAATCAGTCGGACCTGGAGAAAAACTCTATGTGGACACACACAATCTGGGGACAGGGTATTCTAGAGATTGGTCTTGTGTGGTAGAGGCTCCACTGCCTTGGATCTTCTCATTCGTCCCGAGTTTTACAGGCATTTGTGTCATTTCAAAACTTGGTATACTCAAGGAGAGGGTGGAATGAGTGTATACGCAGTGAGCAACAACGGTCTTTGAAGCCTCTTGGTGGTTTTAAGAGCCGCTCAGTCTCCAGCCTTTCGTAACTGGCTGGTCCTCTTGGTGACTGAAAAGAACCGATTGGGTTAATCTGGGTGACTCCCGTTAGTTTGATTCAACAGCGCATCAAACAAAGCTGCGTGAACACCTGTTCCTCCTCTCCTTCTGTGGTGTTGCAGAGTAGATGCATTGCCACAGTGGCTCGTATCAGACCAAGAACAGAATAAGTCGATCTGCTTCATCATTAGGATGTCAGCGTGTAAATAAATGGGTCCCATCCAGTGTTCCCTCTAAGCTGAGTGAGTGTGAGCCAGCTCACAATTTTTTAGCCTCCACACATTTTTGTCTCCGCTCAGGAAGGAGGGCTCCAGAGCAAACTGATTTACGCAGTCGCCAAATGGCTCGCTCACAACTTGAATGCCAGTCGCTCACAAAGTAGAATTTTTGCTCACAGCTTAGAGGGAGCATTGGTCCCATCTTCTTGGTATACTGTTCGTTGGATATCAGCGGCCTGCATGCAGCCACACATTCTGAGCCTTAAGGACATTTCAGTTTTTAGTGTGTGGGAGGGGGGGTGATTTTCACGAGCTCCCCTTCCTCCCCCAACCCTCACTTTGTCCCCATGACTGTTTCTGAGGGTGGGTCCTATGCCCCCCCCCCCCCAAAAACAAAGGTTCAGGAGGGTCATT